ATATGCCGTATATATTCTGGTAATACATGTGCTCTCTATTTGCCTTATAATACCCGCGAGAATGAGATGTTTGGCAAAGAATGTGTGGAATCACCGCATCGTTACTCTCTATTGATATTCTTTAGCTCTCTATTCATAACATAATAGTTGTGTATATCGTATAAATACAAACATATCCTACAGTTAGCAATAAATGTATGCAATTTATGCTAAAATCACTTCACAACTCAATCGTATTTTTTCTGTGCTCATGTTTTTTTCTCTCGTCCACACATTATGCATGAATACAGGAAAACACAACACAATTTTATTGAACACAACATACAGACAATCATATAAATCACAGCCATATATATACCCGAATCTAATCAAGTGATGTGCGTGTGTTAAACAGTGTCAGTGAGGTGTGATGTGTGACTCTCTCTCTCTCTCTCTCTCTCTCCCTCCTAACTAACCAGTATTGTTCATCTTATTGTTGCCTTTGCCCGCACTTATCGTGTTTTATGTATGCGTAAAAATGTGTGTATTTTTATGCATAAAAACATGAATTTTATACATATATTTAAATATTTGAATTTTTTATTTTACTTAAACTTAAATCATAATATTTTTATTAGATTTTATTAAATTTTATCAATTTTTTTGTTGAAACGATTGCTACTAAATAATGTCATTTATTAAATAAATTGCTTTAAATAATTAAAATAGTCTTTTAACAATTCATTAAAATTGGGAAATTTATTTAACATTTGAAATAATAATATTAATAATTTCTTATCAAAATAAAGTGTAAAAAATATTTGTTATTAAAATAAATGATTTTATATATATAAGATTTTATATTTAATTAAAGTACTTTTGAAAACACTTTGCAAACCAAGAATATTCTGTGACCTTAAATGAAAATATCATTATAATATAGAAAACATGAAATATCATTGATATGAGAACCACAGAGTAATTAATATTGATTTTTATTAAAAACTCTTATAAGAATTTTTGCTCAAACTTTCAAATTAATTAATTCTTATCGTAATTGATCTGACATTAGATTTGATGTGACAATCATTACCCCTAATAATTGATGATAAATGCTATTAAAACGTAAAGAAAAAATAATATTTTACTCATTTTTTTTGGTTAAATTGAATATTTTTGGTGTGAATTTTGTGAGTATTTCTATTCTCACATTTGCAGAACAAAAACATTAACTTTTATAAAAGTTAATAAATTCTAAAAATAAATAATTTTTTTTGACTCTTTTCATAAATTTTGTCACAACTTTTTTCTTTTGTATTTTTGTCACTAATATATAAAGCTGATCAGAATATGTTTTTAAATGTTTTTAACGGTTAACTATATATGTTTGGGACTTTGGGGGCAAA